TGTCCGTCCTCCCTGGACTGACCTATCCCCTCCCTAACTCCCCACCTACACTCACCTTTACTGGCTCCATCCCCACCTCTTCGACCTGTCTGTTTCCTCTCCACCTATCCTCTCCTCTATCCCTCTTCTATCCGCCTCCCACTCTCTCCCTATTTATTTCAGAACCCCCTTCCCCTCCCCCATTTCTGATGAAGGGTCTAGGCCCGAAACGTCAGTCTTTCTGCTCCTATGATGCTGCTTGGCCTCCTGTGTTCATCCAGCCCTGCACCTTGTTGTCTCGGATTCTCCAGCATCTGCAGTTCCTACTATCTCTTGTCGCAACTAGCTTTATTTTTAAAACTAGCTTACTTACCTCTTAATTCTCAGATATTCCTTGCACAGCAATCTTAGTAATGAGTCATTTATATAAACACCATTTACTACGTTATAGTTAGCTATAAAATATCTTTCATTAGTGTCTCAACATGCTACTCGATAAATTGCTTTTTTTTGCAGTGACATAGTTGAATATTTCCAAAGTCTGACTTTTCATTTATTGTTAAGTCACCTGAGACCATAGTGTTGTGCAGTGATGTATACTGCTGGCCACAAGCTTCATATAATGTATTCTGGGGAAGGGTCACTGGACCCGAAACTGTTAACTCTGATTTTTTCTTCACAGATGCTGCCAGACCTGCTGAGCTATTCCAGCAACTTCCTTTTTGTTCCTGATTTACAGCATCCGCAGTTTTTTCTGTTTTTATTTAGCGTCATATAATGTTTCACGTCATATGATTCTGTGTCACTTATTTTGTTAGATGTCTCCAATAAATTAAAAAAAAAGCTTTTAAGAGTGTAGTCTAACAAAATCTGATGTATCTCACTCATCCGCTCCCCACTTCCTTCCCCAACCATTAATTGTGCTGAGAAATGCAATTGTTTATTTCGTTTTGCTGAAGACGCCACCTCCCTATAGCAATTGACTGCAGACACATGGGCAGCTGAATGTTGTCTTATTAGGAGAGGCAGCACTGAGGCTGTAATTATTGATGTGCATTAACAATTGCAAGGTACTGTTCCTAATAAAGCAGCCCTGCTGGGCAAGATTATGGCCCAAGATAACGCAATAGGACTGATTCTGGAACCAAGACAACAAGGTGCAGAGCTGGATGAACACAGCAGGCCAAGCAGCATCATAGGAGCAGAAAGGCTCCTTCATGATCTACAAAGGATGGTTTTATTCTGGAATCTGACTTGTCTGCTGGTTCTAACAACTAGGGTCATAACGCGTGGTAAAAAGGATTAACTCATGCTTCTGGAAAGTTCCTAAAATGTAATTTGACCATGGTTGCACGTCTGCCTTTGAATGGACATACCAGAATGAAAACTATCTGTAGAATTAATGCATTTTATTGCTTGGCGTCTGAGCTAAATCTCAAAATCCATGAACTCCTAGACTTAGAACCTCCAAACTCAAATGTTTACAATGACAATTGTAAAGAAACCAGTCAGATCACCAGTAGGTGAAGAGCCAAACAAACTTCAAATTAATCATGGAGTCATAGAGATGTACAGTATGGAAACAGTCCATTTCGTCCACGCAGATCAGATTATCTACATTAATCTAGTCCCTTTGCCAGCATTTGGCCCATATCCCTCTAAACC